TATTTTATATAAATAACTAAAAAAACAAGTACAAACGGTGGACTACACTACACTTCCCCTTGGATTTACCTAGCTACCAAGGGGAAAGAACTTGCTACAAACAAATAACACATTCCATAAAGAAGATAAAATACTTCAAAAAAGAAACTTAAAAAACAGACACGGTTGGGACTTACAAAATACACAAAGAAATACTAAAACACAGACCTACAATAAACACCAATTACAAAGTAGAGTAAAATCCTTTACTTCTCGTGAGCCTGCGAAAATTGTCACACAACTCAACACATAGATCGGCCCCCGTAACTAAAACAAAAAGGGAACTACTAATTTAAGAGCATGCACAATGTTTTGGGTTTATTCAAAAAATGTACAGGCCACGTAGGAAATACACACGGTAGAAAAAAATATACACTTCAATGCAAGTGCAAGTGGACTGAGATCTGCTGATACGACAGCAAAAAAAATAGACTTGGTCTACCATTAAATCTATTTTACACCCAAGCAGAGATTGCATTAGAGTTAATTTTGTTACCTTTATATATTCTGCTCATGTCATCCAAGAATTAGGTCTATTTACATGTTACATAAGCAAAAATAGACCTAAAACATTGCAAATGCTCTAAGGCCTCTAGATTTGAAATCTCAGAGTGGACTGGAACGGCTAGCCAGATATGCCGAGGAGATAAAATTTGGGCCCAAATCTGAACCCCCAAGAAGCTTCAAGCTTGGAGAGAGACCGGAAATCGAGATAGTCATCCTGACTTACCTCACCGGAGGTGCGGCCGTCCTTTTCTGAACATTCTGAATCATTAATCACCAAACATCATTACTTCAAAAAAATGACTTGAGTGTTCAGAGGCTCTACGTGGGGACATCCTTGACGCTGTTTTGCATGTAATTGAAGCGGTTCGAAGGACGGTTCAATCAACATTGGATAGGCGGAAGACAATGGTGGCGGCGGTGGAATTTTGACGACGACAACGGCGAGAGTATGCAACGGTGTATGTGTAATGGGGAGAAAAGGGAGAAGAGTGGGGTGGGTGGGTCCCACAAATAGGGAGTGGGTGGGTGGAGTGGGAGATTATGTCCACTATCCATGAGTGTAAAATTTTTGATATTTTTAGCCATTAGATTATATATGTTTCAACTATGATTCACTCTTATTTGTTTCACTGATAAATATATATTCTTTTAACTTGAAAGAAAGCAAAACCAAAATAATCATTCTCACTATAACCCATTCATATTTATATAAACTTATATTCTTTTTTAAATTGAAAGAAATATAGAAACCAAAATAATCAAGTATGTTGGCCCCTAAATTGAATAGTTAGCAAATACAAGGTAGGCCCAAGCGATTGAACCCCTGACCCTTCTAGATATGCAAAAGGGGAAAGAAAATATATTATCACCTATTTTCAAAACCCTAGTTCAGGGCGATCGGACAATAAATCCTGCTCGAGTCGCCTGTCTCTTATACATCGCCTGTGTCAGTGTGTCTCTTATATATTACAGAACCCATTTCGTATCTCGCCACTTTCAGAATTTGGAACACAATCGCAGTAATTTTTCCTCTTATTTACCAATTTCACGCAATATTCTTTGAGGAAAAACAATGGAGTTTTGGGGTACGTTTCTTCTTGTTTAATAAGGAATTGATTTTCTTTAATATATATTACGATTTGATGCATCACGAGTTTATTTCATCAAAGCGTTTTGTTGCATTTTACGGTATTTTGTTTAGTTTCCCTGTGTTAACGATCTACCTTGTTAGAGAATATTTGTTTTGTAGTTTTGGAGTTGGACGAGTACATGGATAAATTGTTGTTAGTGTTGTAATTATGCTTTCACAGTCTGTTGTGTTGAAATGCTATGCCATCTGTCTTGTAAATTTTCCATGATTACTGTTATCAAGGATCATCGTCGTCATCATCATTAGTGTCATTGTTGTTTGATGGATTCTTATCTACTATGTAACAGGAATTGAAATCAGAGCTGGGGAACCACAGCAGGTTCAACCCCCAGCTGGATCACTGATTCATATCTCACAGGTTTGGGCGATATTCTTCTTAAAGTAGTTCACTTGCAATCAAAATATCCTTTTTGTGTGTACTTGTTTGGTGGATTATTTAACTTTTCTTTAAACCTTGTTAATTTCTTTATTTTTCTTACAGGCTTCCTTGGGTGAAGTTAACAATGTTAAAGGGGCCAAGAATGTCCCCCTTCAGCTCAAAGTTGATGATAAGGACTTTGTTATTGGCTCTCTTTCTGCTGAAGACAGGCCTCAGGTGATGTTTGACTTGGTTGTTGAGAAGGACTTTGAACTCTCTCATGACTGGAAAAATGGGAGTGTGTACTTCATGGGCTACATTGCTGAAAACCTGGATTCAGGTGAATTCACCTGCTTTATTCCCATATGATGATAAGTTTTCTATTATATTTTTGTTATTTGCCTTTTGGAGGACAAGCAGTCTCATATTAATTGCACTATTCATGTTTTTTCCGTATTGCAGACCTTTATGATATCCCTTCTGATGATTCCGAGGATGTATCTGATTATGAGCATGTGGAAAATCAGGGTAACTACAAGCAGTAACTACTTGCTTGGAAACACTTTTCAAATCCAAACGTCCATTTCAAGAATTAGTTCAGAATTAAGAATGGAGTTATGGATAAATTTGTTGCGAATAGGCCATTTTAGAGAAGTAAAGAACGGAGACTTTTAGAGAAGTTCATTTTGTCAAAGGCCATTTAATAAAGGAACTTTTATAAAAGTGTTACCCTAAAAGCACTTAATTTCTATCTTCTTCTTCTTCTTTTTTTTTTTTTTTTTTTTTTTTTTTTTTT